TACCCATGTTTGCTTTCATTGACAACTCAGTATTGTGGATGAATACTTTTTTGAAAATAAGACACATTAAACAATATGGATAGTCAAATGGCATTCTTAATAATTACTACCCTAAAGATATTTAATAATAACTTTCAGAAGGACATATTTCACTCTTTGTGTTTGTTTTAAAAACTGATATTTAGTAAGTGAGGTGTATTCTTTCCCTAAAGGTATCATTTAAAGGATGTGATTGTTGGAAAAATTTACTTCTTATTAGTAAGAATAAAAATCCAACATATGGAGTTACAACTGATCAAAAAAGAGATCACAGGAATTGGTAAGTTGAAAAGAGTATTTGAATTGAATTTCCAGAATGTCATGTAGTTGGAATCATACAGTATCTAGCCTTTTCACTAAGCAATGTGTGTTTAAGTTTCCTCCTTGTCTGTTCATGGCTTTTCAGCTTTTTCTATCACTGAAAAATATTCCATTGTATGATTGTACCACAATTTGTTTATCCATTCACCTTTTTTTAAAAGTTGAATTTTGAAAAAAAACCTTTAAACATTTTAAGTGGAGAGTTTTTTCATTCCAAAGTCTGTATTGGTCAGTGTTCTCTAGAGAAACAGTAGAAGATACATACGTATATATGTATGTATTTATGTAAGTGTATATATGTGTATGCACATCTATGCATATGTATGTATGAATGTGTGTATATATGTATTATACATATATATGAAATATATATATATGTATATGAGACATATCAAGGAATTGGCTGACACAGTTGTGGAGGCTGACAAATCTGAAATCAGTATGATTGGCTGACAGCTCAAGGCAGAATTTCTCTATTTTTCTACCTGCTATCAAAATTTCTTTTAACTTGTGGATTGGGTGAACGTCTACAGAGCAAATTAGTTTTCCATTCAACAATTTATGTACATTTTGTTTCCTGATATTGGTAGCAGTGCTCTCAATGGAATAGCACTCTTCTCACTTTCGCCCTGGGTTCTCCTTATCCATTTTTTCTTCTTTCCTGCCCCTTTCTGTCTCCTGAGCTCTGTTTTGGGGCATGTGCTGCCCTTTTGGTTTCATATAGTTCATTGTTCTGTGGAGTATGTTCCTCACAGATGTTATTATTCATTTTATAGGCCTGTCTGTTGTTTGGCTGGAAGGTGAACCCCTGGAGTGGGTTCAGTTCCAGGTTTGAAGGGCGTCTAAGGGCTAGTCTTGGGGGTTCTATCAATCTCTATCAGACCAGTAAGTCTGGTCTTTTTTTATGATAAGATTAAGTGATTTTTAGATGCTAAAATCAAATTTCATGTTCTCATTTGTTGTTTAAAAAGTAATTGTTTACTTAAACTTTTATTTTTGATTATAAAATTGTTTTATCCTAGAAAATTTTAAGAAAAATGAAATAATCTATATTCCCCATCCAGAATAGACTTTTGTCTTTGCATATTGTATATTTTACAACATTGAGGCCATTACTATATATTTTGGTATATTTTTCTCACTTTTTAAATGTCTAGGTTCAAATAGTTTTTTAGAGGATCAATCCCCAAATTCAAAATTTTAAAGAACTATGTAAGTCAGAATTGACTTGATGGCAACTATCAGCAATGTATGTGTGTGTGCATACATTCAGTTTGATGTTTTACCTATGTAAACTAAGAGAAGAAAGTTTGGGTGTTACAGAGAAAACTAGCATACCAGTGATTAGTTTTGATAAGTATTGCTAGTTTCTATTTTAGTAAATATCAGAAATGATAGATGGAACTTGGTAAAGAAGAATCTTTCTGAACTGTGATTCTTTTGGGAATAAGGGAGCAAAACATTATGTTGAATGATGAGTATATAGATCAAGAAATAGAAAAAGAATGATCAACATTGTTACAAAATGGGGTGATAAATTAATACTAAATAACTGGAAAATTGGAAGCAGGTATAAGGCTGGAAATTATGTCCTGGAAATATTTAAATGAATATAATTTACATTATTGCTCTAGGACCTAGTACCACAACAGAAACAGAAACAATCGCCAAATATGAAATAATGGATGGTGCACCAGTAAAAGGTAACACACTTTTCAGCTACTTCTCTTGTGATGTAAGTGGTGCAGATGGCAGTGTTCAGGCAGTTTAGTTTGAAAGTATCCAGTTTGAAAGTATTTATGATTTCTTAAAATAATTCTTACAATAATGGTTCTTAAGATCATCTTTGTGTAGATGCTGGGAAGACTACAATTACTTCTTGGTCTGAAATAAGGCTTATTTTTTCCACTCAGTTTAAAATCAGAATTTAGAAGAGATGCTTACATATTTTATCTAATTCTGAATTTGTAATATTTGATTGTCTTCTGTTATAATAGTTATCTCTGTAAATATTTTTTTCTGATGCTGAGCAAAAGATGCAGTGTAGCTGAACATTAATTTTTGTGGGATTTTGGAGTCTTAACTTAGAGCCCCCAAGAAAATAAGCATTCCATCACTATATCATCTTCTGTGTTTAAGACACTGAAGCCACTATTTATCGTTTTAAAATTATACCTTTGGACTTGCCTATTATGTTAATAATTATTTCAAAAAATAACTACTATTTATTGAGTATTAACTGTAGATGAGGGAGCCCTGGTGGTGTAACAGTTAAGTGCTTGGCTGCTAACTGAAAGATTGGTGGTTCAGACCCACCCAGCAGCTCTGTAGGAGAGAAGAGCTGGTGAGCTCTCATAGTCTAGAAGATCCTGTGGGGCAGTTCTACTCTGTCACACAGGGTTGCTAGCAGTTGGAATTGACTTGCCAACGTCTTTGTAGTCTTGGTGCTCTAAACTTCCCGACAGCCTTTTGAGTTAGGTGGTGGTTTCTCTTACTTTACCAATGAAACAGAGATTCAGAGAGGTTTAAAATAAACACCTGGTAACGGTGATATAACTAATGATGGCAGGGTTGTAGTTTGAGCCCAGGCTTTTCTGACTATGTGCCTCATGTATATGTACTCTTGTGTTACGTCATACAACTTAGTGAAATTTTAGCAGTCACACATTTTATTATAAAGGGATAGGTCTCATATTTTTCAGGAAATAGATGTACGTGACAAAAGTATATAAATAAATTTCAAAAGAATATGCACATAATTCCTCCTCTTAGGACAAGAGAAGCCATGAGAATTTGAACAGTAATCTTTTTTGGCTGTGAAGGAATATTCTCCTTCTGTACTTGCTTATTGCTTTGGATGAATTAGTAAGGGATATTCCACAAATTTATACACAAAAGAAATTGGAATAAACTTTGAGAAAGCAGAAAATAAAAAAACTACTTGTTTAGCACTTACCTGCTGGGACTTTTCTAAGCTCTTCACATATACTAGCCTTATGTATATTGTCCTTATAAAATCCCTGCAAGGAGCATATTGATGTTATCCTCACTTTTCAGATAAGGAACTTGAGCAGAGAGGTTAAGTGACTTGGCTAATATCACACAACCAGTAAGTGGTTGAGATTTGAATGTAAGCATTCTGGCTCTAGACCAGTGATTCTCATCTAGGGTCAGTTTTGTGCCCCAGGGGACATTTGGCAATGTCTGGAAACAGTTTTGGTTGTCTGGGGTGTACTACTGGCATCTAGTAGTAGAAGCCAACGATGCTGCTAAACATCCTACAATGCACAGGACTGCCTCCACCCTCAATAAGTATCCAGCTCAAAATGTCAGTAATGCTGCGGTTGATAAGCTCTGCTCTACGGTTTTTGTTATGCTGCATCTCATCTGAGGAACTGAAGCATTAGTGTATTTTCTACAATGCTTTGTCCTAGGCATTAGAACTGTATTTAATAAACTGAAATACAAATTACTTTTCTTCCAGGTGAATCAATTCCAATAAGATTATTTTTAGCTGGGTATGATCCAACTCCAACAATGAGAGACGTGAACAAAAAATTTTCAGTAAGGTACTTTTTGAATCTAGTCCTTGTTGATGAAGAAGACAGAAGGTACTTCAAGCAGCAGGTATGATACTTCTCAAGCTGGTATTTTGTTCTTTTGACAGTTTAAAAAATATCTAGAAAGGACTCACTTTTCTAAGCTTTATTGCAGTGGGCTATAAATAAGTGTGCTGATGGAGTGAATTGTTAGACCTGTGGTCTTAGGACCATCGTCATGGGGACATCAAGCTCAGTTGGCATAACATACTACACAAAAACATGGTTCTATATCCTACTTTGACAAGTGGCAACTGGGGTCTTAGAAGCTTGCACGCAGCCATCTAGATGCAAGGATGGGTCTCTCCTTATCCAGAGAAAAGAAGAATGAAGAAAACCAAAGATACATGTAAACATTTAGTTCAAGGTACTGGTAGACCATGTGATCCTCAGCCTATATGACCATGAGACCAGAAGAACTAGATGGTGCCCGGCTACCACTGTCAACCACTCGGAGAGGGATTGGTGTAGGAGATCCTAGATAGAGT